TTGTTGTTAGGTTTTTTTTCTGCTGGAAACATTTAATCCATGAAGGATACCATAAGAAATTCCAACTAGTTGTGCAAATTCTTTTAAACTTATTCCATGTCTTTACTTTTAAGCTGACTGTAGTGCTGGCTACACAGTGGTTCCAGTTAGACCTAAAAGCTATTTTTAACAGAAGTGATTTAACATCCTTTACAATTTACTGAAAAGTCCTTCTGTTGTTATCCTGATCACTTCTTCGTAGATACCTGAGTATTTAAGAAATACAGTCAACTTTGTCATGTCATGTACAGCTGTAGGAAGAAGTATGTGAACCTTTGGGAATTTCATGGTGTTCTGCGTTAATTTGTCATAAAATGTGATCTAACCATCATCTAAGTCAAGAGTATTGACAAATATAATGTGCTTAAAATAAGAACACAAAACCAATTCCGATCCTCCATGTCTTTATTGAACACACTCATGCAACATTCAGAATACTAGTGGAAAAAATGAACCTTTAGAATCAATAACTGGTTGACTCCTCCTTGGTAGAAATAACCTCACCCAGGTGCTTCCTGTAGCTGTAGATCAGAGCTGCACATCCTCCAGGAAGGATTTTTACTTCATTCTTCCTGGCAGAACTGCTTTAGCTCTGTCATATTTGAATGTCTTGTGTATGTCTCTCTTCAAGTCATTCCACAGCATCTCTGTTGGGTTGAGGTCTGGACTCTGACTTGGCCACTCCAGAAGATGGATTTTGTTTTTCTGAAGCCATTGTTGTGGACTGCTCTGGTGTTTTGGGTCATTGTCCTGGTGTATCTCCCAATATCTACGTAGTTTCAGCTGACGTACAGGCATTCCCACATTATCCTGAAGAATTTTTTTATATGCTTGGGAATTCCTCAGGGACTGCAAGCTGCCCAAGCCCTCATGCAGCAAAGCAAGCCCAAGTCATGATGTTTCCTCCACCAAACTTTATGGCTGGGATGATGTTTTCATGATGATATGCAGTGCCCTTTTTACACCAGATGTCGTGCTGTGTGTTCTTTCCAAATAGTTTTAATCTTTGTCTCATCAGTCCCCAAAAGATTTTGCCAACACCACTGTGGAGTGCGTGCTCTTTCACAAACTTCAAGCCTGCAGCAATGTTCTTTGTAGTAAGCAGCAGTTTCCTTCGTGGTGTCCTACCATAAACACCCCACTTGTTCACTGTTTTATGTACTGTAGACTCATGAGCACAGGTGTTAGCCAGTTCCAATGACTTCAACTCTTTGGCTGTCACTCAGGGTTGTTTCTTTACCTCATTGATGAGTCTTCATTGGTTTTTGGTGTCATTTTGACACCACTTCTTGGTAGAGCAGCCACAGTCCCAAAATGTCTCCATGTGTAGATCGTTTGCCTCACTGTAGGCTGGTGAATTTCTAAGGTCATTGTATCACGTTGTATCACATAGTATCACTTTGTAACCATTTTCAGCTTTATGAAAATGAACAAATCTTGATCTTAGATCCTCTAGAAATTCTTTTTGGCGAGGCATGGCTCACATAAGTGTACATCTTGTGCGGAGCAAACTCTAAAATCTTGAGTATTTTTTATCAGTCAATGTAGCTCTAGTCCACATCTCCAAACTAATTTTCTTAACAAGACTCCAGGCTAACCTGACTCCGATTAGCTCTCCTGAGGTCAGCTGAAGGGTTCACTTACTTTATACACTATCATTTTAAATGTTGAATAAGAGTGTTCAATAAAGATATGGAGGATCAGAATTGATTTTGTGTTCTTATTTTAAGCACATTATATTTGTCAATACTCATGACTTAGATGATGGTTAGATCACATTTTATGACAAATTAATGCAGAACACCATGAAATTCCAAAAGGTTCACATACTTTTTCTTGCAGCTGTATGCTAGTGAGTAACTCGTGCATCATCACTAGTACGCTGGTATTTCCACTTGTGCTCTATAGATTTATTTATATAAAGTATACACAGAAAATTATTTTTGAAAAATATGAAAAAAATAGAAAAATACTTCAAGTTAAATATCTTGGAACCATTGGGAGCTGAATTGTTGGTATTCTAAAAATATTAATGACTTCACATAATTTTCCTCACAGCCCTGGATATTTTTAGAGCAATTATTTTCTCAAAATAACTATAGTGCTTCTGCAAAGGACCTAATCAAACAGTACGTTCTTCGTCATGGACCATAGGAGAAAACACTGATCCTTTTGACTGAAAGAGTCAGGAGAGGGTTTCTGCTTTTGATCTCCAAAATACTGTATCCCATCTGCTGCATGGCCAAATGAGTAGATGATTTTATTAGAGAAAAGGCACAAAAGCATGCAGCTTGTTCTTAAATATGCTGGTACAGAAGGCATTGTAGAATTAAAGATGAACTCTTGAGTGACTGTAATTTTTTGAGACTCCTCAGCTCCATGAAATTATTAGAGTTTGAACAAAAGTGTTAGAACTTTATCTTAAAATCCCATTTCTTAAAAAAAACCCAAACGCCTTTATTCTTTCATGCTAAAATTTAGTATTCTAGAGAAAAAAACCCATTTTTTCCATGAAGGAATTTATAGAATGTTTCAATGTTCTGCGGTTTATCCAGGTTTATCCAGATCTTACTGGAAATAATTCAATCTTTCCCCAGTTGTATTAATTACAATTTAAATATTTTTAATACCAAAAATCAGATGCAGCAGAAATAATCTTTTTGCACAAAAGTAGATTTAAAAAGTTCCATATTTTTCTAACAAAATATGATACTAGTGTTTTAGGTATCTGTGTTAATTTTATGTACAAATTCTTACAAGGCAGGGTGTCAAAATATAATTAGAATGATCTATGCAACAAATTAAATACACTCTAGTAGCATGGATTAAAAAAAATCTCTTTTGAAGTACTTTCATTAGAAATTAGGAGAGAAAGTTAGATTTGTATGAGATGAAATTGGAAAAAAAAAGTAAGAATGTTAGCTGCAAAGAATAGGAAAGCACCTACGGATGAAGGAACAAGCAAAGTGTCATCTAGAATTAATGTTTAATAATAAAAATAAAATGCGGTCCTCAGCTTCTGAAAACCGTTATATCTTTACTAAACATTCGTGAAGTTGTTACAGTTACATTATTCTTAAAACCTAATGAAAACTGCTGATGTTAGTAATTCCTTTTGATGTTTCACTCAGCTGGATGAATGCCTCTATGTCTTCAGCTCACTTTCATTTTCAGGTTTCTGTAGCAGCACAAGTTCTGAAGCATCTGTGGTCTTAAATACATCCATATTCCAGTGTGCACCTTCCTAGTGTCAACTGAGCACGTTGATAGGTCCTGTTTATCTGCTAACTTGAAAATTATGCTCACAATTAAGATCTCAATAGGTATATTTTCATCATAGAATCATCATCATAGAGCGGCCTGGGTTGGAAGGGACCTTAGAGATCATTTAATCCAACCTCCCTGTTCATTAAACCTCTTCCAGTTGTGAATTTTGGGGAAGGCTGAGGGAGAGTGCAATACAGTCTCTTAAAATAAGGAGAAATAATAATTTTTAGCTTGTTTTGTCTTTCAGATTAGTAGCAGAGGGTTGGGAAAAAAAAAGCAGGAATCTCCAAATCCAAAGAGTGTGTTGTTGTCTGGGAAGGTTAGAAGTATAAAGTTTCATGAGATTTCCAGTGCTCACAGTCTTGGCTAAATTGCCTAAATTACAAGAATTTTTTTCCTTCAGTGTTTCCTGTCTTTCTACTTCAGCTGACAGCTGCAAGCAATAGTCAAAGAACTGGTTAACGACAGAATTTTTTTTTAAACATTTTTTGATAAAAACGTCTGGTAACTGATTGTAAGTTGAGAATTGCTTTTGTAATACTATATGGAAGACACGCCTACCGTTTGTAATTAATGTGATCCTTCCAAACATACTCGACTCAACTCTGTTGAGTTGCGTTGCTTGTAAGTCAATGCACAGCCTCTAAAGTCTCACAGATTGTTCTGTACATTTAGTGTTGCATGATTCACAAATCCTGACAGCTTGAAGCATGTCAGTGCCTGTAAATAATCAATTTTGTGTGTGTTTATACAGATATGTGCACATATGTCTGCAAAACCAGGTGTTACATTCCCCTCCACCTGATAGACAGTATTCCAGAAGCACAAAAGTTTTGTGTGAAAGTGTAGTTGTTTCTACTTCAAATCAGTGTTCAATTTGTATTCAGCTGCTAAAATATAATTTTAAGAAAGATGTTGAAATAGTATTTTATTTAAGTTCATTTAGAAAATGAACAGAAAATAAACCTTTTGTTTAAAATGAACATGCATTGCCAAAGTGTTGTTTTAAATTGATTTGGTTATTTCTTTTCCCTTTTTTTCTTTTTTTTTTTTTTAAAGTGATCTAATTTCTTTTATTTGGTTTTGTTCTCAGTCCTGAATGCAGCTTGTATACTGGAAAGTAGCTTATCTTGCTGGATTTCTCATTGGAGCAAACAGCACTGCAACCTCCACATGTATTAGTGCTCTCTCGCTGCCATGTTAATTTAAGTGACAGAACTGAGCTCGCACTTGGCCTCGTGTCTCCACGTGGGAGCTTGGCAGTCGGGTTTCTCTGCTGGGTTTGCTCGAGCAGCCTCTCATTTCAGCCGAAGCCAGGGAGATGAGGAGGTCGTGGCTGGCTGCCGTGGCTCCAGCGAGCGGCGGAGCTGAGGAGGAAGCTTCTCTTTTGGGGAGACAGAGTGGAGAGGGGAGAGCGAGCCGCCGGGCTGGGCACCACACGTGCTCCGAGGTGTGCCAGCTTCTCCAGCCCCCTAAAGGGTCTTTGTGGTTTGAGGGGGGGATGCCTGTGCTTTGCTTTTCTAAATGTAAAAATTGTTCATATTTGCTGAGACGCTTTCTGCTTTGAAGCCAAAGAAGTGCCCCTGCTTTACCGCGCTGCTCCGGTGATGACTTGATTTCTGTTTTGAGATGAAAATTGAGGTTTAGTTCGAGTGTTCCAAAACCAGATACCACTCTCTCTCTCTTTCTTGTAGGCAGGGTGCTGCTGTGCCAGGCAAACCAGGAGGGATCTCCCGTGTACAGTGCCCCCAGTTCACTAGTATACACATCCACAAGTAAGCTAGTGTTACAGCTCTTTTGTTTTGTTTTGTTTTGTGACAAAAGCACGTGAATGTGAATTGAGCCCTCTAAAAATGTGAACTTTCCCAATAGCTCTTTAAGGTGAATGTACTGTTTCTGTAATGTCAACAGATAATGCAGTGGGTTTAGTTGCATCTTTATCCTTGAAGTGTATTTTATTTTTTTTACAAGAAAGAAAGAAAAAAAATACAACCTATATTGCAGTGTTCTAGAGAAACGGTGAATTTTTGCCTTTGGAATCCAGTACTGTTGTGCACTCTGCATTTTGTGTGAAAGATGAAGTGTTTCTTTTTTTGTCCTGGTCCCAACTGTGTTTTAATAAACAAAAAGTCTTCTGTCATGCCACCATTCGATTGTGTCAGGAAGCAAACAGATATGACGTCTCTTTTTTTACAAAATGAAAAGGACCATGTGCAAGTAGGTATTTGAATTGTAGAAAACTGCCCTAATAAAAATGGCAAAGGCAGGCTGAAGCGCTAGTTGCTGCCATCAGCCATTTTTTTGTACAAAACTTCAGAGGAGAAATGTATTCTCTAGAATCCTGATCCAGTTATTCTGAGCGTGATTTAAAGCATATTGGCCCATTCTGAAACGTAGCCAGAGAAAAGCCTCTAGCTGAAAGGAACAGTAATAATTGCTGCGTGCTGCATGAGGGCGACCAGCAGCATTGGTAGCAGTCCTTTGTAAAGAAAATATTTGACATTGTCTGATTTAACAACATTATCTCATATGTGAAGATTGTATTCAATCTGGAATGCAGTTCGACTATTTTAAAGCTTATCTAGGCCGCTAAAATAGTTGTTTTCTTTTATTAATTAAAACCAGGAATGAGGACAAAAGAGTTCCATGATGATCATCTCTACACTCATGGAACTCTCTTATGTCAAAGGCTGCAGATTGCTGCTTTTACAGTATAAATATGGGATCTACTCTCAAATCAGGAGTCTACAAATACATAGTGAACTAACGAGAAATACATGAAGAGTTTTAAATTGGGAATGAAATTACCAGTTAACTCTGCATTTGCTTCCAGGTGCTCCAGTAGTGTTTCATACCTTTCCTAAGCGGTGTGAGATTTTTTGAAACCTTGTAGTAGCACAGCAGTGAAGTACTGTTTTAATCAATCTTGCCTTTTGTACATTTTTAGCACGTTAGTCTTTTTTGACTGAAATACCAGTCTTTGACTGAAATTCCTTTCCTACAAAATTATCCAAACATTTAATCAATTTTGCTCTTAGGGAGCTTCATTTGGAGAAGACAGGACAGTGTTTTTATTTTTCTGGAAATTACTCTAAATAAAGCCTCTCTTAAGTTTACCTTGATGCTCTTATTATCTCACTGTGTTCTGTCCTAGGAAATTCGTTTCTGGGGTTGCTGTTTACATTGTACGGTATTTCTACTATTATTAAATCCCTGGACAGTTATCGTATAGCTAGCTAAGCTCATACTTCACTGTTTCCATAATGTCTCATGAGTCAGTCCCTTTGAAAAATCGTATTTTGCAGTGGTGCTTCTTGAATAATGATATCCTAACAAACACCTGTTTGTTTTCAATTACGCCAAATACATCAGTAAACAGGCTTTGCCTATCTGCCTCCCACTGGGCACTGGGTAATACACAGCTTCAAAGCAAAGATTGCTAGTAGCCCTTGCAGTAGAAATTATTACACATTTGTTGAATCTGTGTATCCGCAAGTCATGATTTTTCTTTTAATATGTATAGTGCTTCATATTGCTAGAAAGTAGTTTCCCCCACAGGGTCACAACTCCTAATAATACAAAATTACTACAATTGCTAATGATTGTAATTGGGGGGTTTTATTTCTCCTTATTTCAAAACTTGCGATGAAGATGTAAAATAGTATAACCTCTGTAGGACATTCTACTGAGAAGTGAATAGAAATGAAGCTTGAGTTTTGTCCTGTTTTCTTTCTTACATTATTTTTAACATCTTCTGTATTCTGGTTTTTATGCACATTTATAATATTGAATTAATAACTGAGAAGTCAACATTGACATAGGAGAAATACTTTTACTATGATCATTCCATGTAGACAACATTATTGCAGCGTTCCTCTTTGAATAATTTGTTAATTATTTATTCTGTTACTGCCAATATTGGAACTGTGTAATATTTTAGAACAGCTTGCAATGTAAGAATTAAGAAGTTTTAAATTTGTAATTGTTCTAACAGAAGAGTCAGCCCAGATTTTTAAAGCTGTCTGAGAGGTTTGGAGTTTGTTAAATGCTACTGGCATTTAGTAATCTTCAGATGATAATCCCCTATTTTAGGAATGTTGTCTTTAACTTGACTGTTCATTTATTGCTTCTTAGTTATTCTATAAGGAATGAAGAACTGGAACATGGTTGTAAAATATTTTTCATACTTTGGCTAGCTTTATTTCTCACTTTTTGACTTCTAATTGTAGTGGTCTCTAGTAGTCTCTGATGACTGAACATTTTTGCCCCGTTTTTTTTTTTTGCTAGCCAGAAAGAAGAGTACATTTCTTGGAGCTACTAAAAAATGTTTTATTTCCCCAGGATATATTTTATGTATCACATTGTACATTTCCCAGTACGGTGATTAGTTACACCTCTGAATATGTCAGGAGATGGAAACATGGCTCTGCTTCCTTCCATCACTTCTGGCCCTTTGCATAATACAGAAAGAAATGAGCTGTTGCTTCTGCAAGCAGTGGAACAAATCAGTAGCAATAGTCTCTCATGCCTCATCTGTTCTCCTGTGCTGAAGCAGAAGATGGGACCCGGATCAGTTTTTCATTTGCACACCTATTGCGGAAATCGATCATTTGTTACGTAGGAAGCATAGTTTCAGCATGCAGATGTGTTTCCAGCCCTTGGTGGGACAGATGCCTTGCCTCGCTGAGACAACCGAAGTAAGGAAGCCCGTGGCCTCAGCTTGACTGCTCTAGATTCCCGTTGGACTCGCATCTTGAGGATGGAACTAACACAACTGGTTGCACTTAAATTCTTCATCGTTATCATAGGGCAGAATCATAGAATCGTAGAATGGCCTAGGCTGGAAAGGACCTTAGAGGTCATCTAGTTCAACCTCCCTGTCGTGGGCAGGGATGCCACCTCTCGACTAGACCAGGCAACACATGGGGACTGAGCAGAAATCGAACCCGCGAATGTAGACAAGTATTGGAAGGAGGTACATCCAGAAGGTAACGGAGTGCAATAAAACCCAGCAAGTAAGTAGCATTCACTGGAAGCTTCCTGGAGGCCCAGGATATGTCTCACTTTGTACTGGTCGGAGCCCTGAACCCTGGGCACAGTGAAACTTGAAAAGATCAGTTTGGCCGTGTAGAACTGATGGACTCTTTTTGCCTCCACGTCTTTGTTCTAGTTGCTTCCTCAGAAATCTTTGAATCCTGAAGAAATCTGTGTCTACTGTTAAATAAGAAATGTATTAAGAAAAGTTTTGGAACTTTTCCAAAGTGAAGCCACTTGAGAATAGGATCCAGCAGAAGAGTAAGACCTGGCTGGACAAAAGGAAGATCCAAATAAGAAAAAAGTTCTGTCGCTGAATATCTGTAATGCTGTTCTATGAAGGCCAGTAGTGTAGCTGGGTATGTATGGCTAAAAAAGAGACAAAATACGAATCTAAACTTATGCGAGGAATTTTAAAGATTGCTTAGTGCCTGTTTTCTCCATTTTTCTATAAGGTAGAAGTGCCTGAAAATATGAAGGAAAGAGAAAGAAATGCAATCCAAACCATGGGAAAGCAGGAAGACATCAAATTGTAGAATCATAGAATAATTCAGGTTGGAAGGACTCGGTTACACCAGGGCTCCTTCAAGGATGGAGACTGCACGACCTTTCTGGGTCACCTGCTCCAATGCTTGAATGACCTATCAGGGAAAATCTCCCTTCTTTCAGCTGATGGTTCTTGTCTCTTGTCTTCCCAGTGTGCGTCTCTGTGAAGAGCCTGGCTCCGTTTTCTTGATAACCTCCCCTGACCTTTCGAGGCAGGGGATGGAAAAGGAGATGCACCTGCCAGGAGAAAACTTCTTGCTGCTCAGGAACAGCTCATTAATGTGCTCAGGCTCGTGGAATACTGTCGAGGAAGCCAGAAATTTATGATTGTGCCTACCCAGGTCCCATGGAAAACAGTGGGAGATGACAAGTTTTCCTGACCGTTTAAAGGCAGGGAAAGATCTTTCCCTTTCTAGAATTGGAACGTTGGTCTTTCTAACTTTTAGGCTTTGTTTTAGCTCCAAGTCAAAATAAAGATACCTGAGGTTATCAGATACGTAGCTACGAGCAGATTTTTCTGAGAATGCATTAAAAGGACATAAATAGCTAATGTGTACGGTAAAATAGGAAATTGCTACATGCCTCAGTGCAAAATGTTGCGCAGATGAATGCCTGTATTTCCCAGATGTTTTGCATGCTCATAGAAGAGAATTTTGCCTTGACTTCAATGAGTACATTTTAAACTGAAGGCAGTTTTGGCTTACATTTCCTAAATGTTGAAGTTGTTTCATCCTCCCTAAGCATGCTTATCAGCTCCGAAATATATATGCTCTTTTTCCATAAATTATCATTTTTTATTAAAAATAAATAAATCTCTCATGTTGCAAGAAAGTGATAGAATTAAAAAGAGAGAAAAAAATATGAAAATGCAGAAATTGTATACTAATTTATTTTATCATACTCAAGGGCAAGTGAGGTTAATGGCCCATTTTTTTAATCAATATATTGATTGCAATTTTGTAAGAAGTGGTGGTGGAATTCAGGAAAAATGATTGAGATGATTCAAAAGCTTATAAATCTGTCCCACACTGTTCATGTTCTTTAGTTGTAATTGTCTGATAAAACTTCCATCAGTTTCTGTAATTAACCTAATGGTCTAAATGAATTTCCAGATCACTGGTTATTCATTTCAATATCGAAAATGCCATTATACTGAGTTTAATTAATACAAAGTAAGTTTATAGTCCATTGTATC